GTGTGAAAGGTTTTCCATCTGAGGGCAAATGACTTGGCTCCTCTACAGAATTCTGAAAGAGAATAAATATTTCATCATTTTCTCTGTTTCAAAAAAATAAATAAATAAATAAAAAATAAAAGTACCTCAAGGGGAACATCTGAAGCATCGTAACACTTTGGCTGAAAGTCTGTGCTGAAGAGTAAATCTGCCACATCACTGCAGTCACCAATATCTGCATCTTCTCTATTTTTCCATCTATATTGTTCATCAACACTTTCACTCTGTTCTTCAGTACTTGTTAGATCTATGACTGGCCCAGTACTGCTGTTGGTACTGTTCTTCCTACTACAGTGTTTCTTTTCATGGTCATGATTGCTGTTCTTTTCTACATGATTTTTACCATTCTGGTCAAAAAAACAACAAAAAGAATTGATTAACTAATAGATGTAATAAATAACTACTAAAAACACTGAATTAGTTGCAGTCACTTGAGCTTATCTTTATTCATTGCTGACTTACCCATACTCTGGATCAAAACAGAAATATTTAGACACATGTAAGTGAGGCTTCACAGGTTAGAGGCTCAAGTTATCAGGTTGAATTATCTAAAATTTTGGAATAAGGGAACTTCAAGGTGTTTCAACATGTTTAATGACTTTTCAAAGTATGACACTAAACAAGTTTATTGCAAACAAAAAAGTCAGAAAAAGAAAAACAGATTTGAAAAGATATATTTTACATTAACAAACTAAGGGGTTTGAGTCATTGAGAATCATGATTATTCACATCACATTAAAAATGAGCTGAAAGAAACAAATCACTTCAAGTTAGCAGGATCTGCAAGTCACTCAGGGTTTGAGTAACTGAGAGTTATATTACTGGATTAATTAAGGGGAAACCAATTTTAGTTTCTCTTACTTGGCATAAGGTCTGAGATACTGAGAGTTGGAGGTACTGGGATTCAACTATTCATAGACTGCAAGTTAGTTTACCTTACCTTGGACACAAAATTATTATCCAGTTTGCGCTTCTTTGTAACAGGAAATTCTGTATGGAAAGGTGAAATGGATACAAAAAGAAATTTAATTTTGTTGATATCATTTGCATCAAAAATTTGTATGGAAACTTATTCATAATAGTCAGTGTGGTAATTAAGAATAAAACATTTTCTAAGAATTGGCTTTTAAGAGACCAGTGGCAAACGGCTCCTGCTGTTATGCCATACATGTTAAGTGGTTAAATAAACTATTGAATTGAATAGTCTATTAGCTTTATTGAGCATTGAAAACTTCACCTATATGAAGTCAGATGTGGTAAAACTGATGCTATAGAAGGATAGAGTGAGGATACATGGCAATAGTATAGAAACAATTCTAGCATAGAAAAAAGCATATATCATAAAACAATATACAAATACAATACACAGCAACAAAAGTATACCTGCTGTGACTTGAAAGTCATTTTCATCATCTTTGTCTCTAGCATCATAATGCTTTGGTCTTTTGAAAACCAGTTCCTTTTTAAAAGGTGGTACAGACCTCCCTGCCTCTCCAGCTGATCTTGAAGTTGATGTGCCACTCCCACTTGTTTTAAGACACAATTAACAGGTAAAGATGATTTTTTGGTAAAGATTATTTACAGATGATGTTTTGGATAACAGGTTCCAAAAAACCTTAATGGTGAGAGAGAGAGTAAGTCACCAAGACATCTTAAGGAAGAAGTGTGAAAGACGTGCAAGAGTAAAGTACATTGTAAACAACTGTTCACATCCAAAGTTGGAATGTCTAATATAAACTTATTCTAAATTAGTTTTGAGTACATTCATTGTCATTTTAATTAATAATAAAAATAAAATAATTCATTAACATCAATGTACTGACACCATTTGTTAGTAATGACATATTAACTGACTTGCTCAAGCTCCAGCTGTGAGATGATCATCTTGCAAAATAAGAGTCATGGTGAAATTAAAGTTTGTATGGGAATATTTACGACAGCTCTTAGGAATAAAATAATACAGTCAAATTCTCAATAAAAATACCTCACCCTACTTCCACAATGCATCACTTGTTGTCTGACCTCTTACTATGTTGAAAAGAACCCATTTTAGCCAGTTATCTATTTCTAGGTTTACTGTATTAGAGAAGAACCATCCTTCTCTTATACAGTCAACCTAGAAATTAATAACTTGCTAAAATGGGTTCAGAAATAGTACTACACAAACTCTTATAATTTGGCCATGACTCTTATTTTGCAAGATGATCGCCTCACAGCTGGAGATTGCGTCACCTGTGATTAGCTCTTGGAAAAAACCCATAGGTAAGTCTAATCTGAAGCTACTGTGAGGGCTGAGAATTTACCTTTTGGATAAAAATGGTGTTACACGAGCAATCTGGCGTGATCCTGGTCCTTCAGTGCCATTTTCTCCAAGAGACTCCCTATTCAGTTAATTAGAGAAACAAAAAATGTATAAAATACAAAAAGTGCTTCATGGTTACTGTGTTTATCATGTTACTTTGCTAAGTAGTAGTCTCTAAAAATAATACAAGTAACTGACTGTGTTTATTTTAGCAGATATATACTAGAAGTAATTAAAGAAGTACTGCATGTAAATATGACGTGTTTGATGCATCAGAACAAATACTAAAGCTAAAGTCAACCTTTAGCTCAAGTTTGATGAAAATCAGAAATCATGAAAATATAAAATATGATGGTGCAATTTGTTTCCATTGGTCTTTAGAAAAGGGAAGTAGTGCACAACCATCCAACTAACACAGGCAAACCAAATTGAAAATATAGTTAATTTGCATTAAACATAGCAAAGGACTAGAGGCAAATCTGGTCTGAAGTGTTTTGCTGGCATTCTTTTAGCATCTTAACCTCCCTTTCGTACAGTGTTTGTTGTGTTCAGTAGTATTTGCATTAGTCATAAGGTAGTGGTTCTCTGTGTAACCTCCCTCCCATTCCCAACTGTAGTTTAAATAGATATAAACCTCCTTGTTCAGAAGGTTTATACTTCTTTTATTTATTTTTATTTATTAATTCAATAATATTTCATTTTATTGTCACTAAGCCATTTAGCTCTAGTGTGATGGGTGCTTGTAGGGGCTTAACTTATGGAGGTCATGGCTGGGTTGTGGGTTAGGGAGGCCAGTCAGGCATTCTAGCACCTTGGGGTGCAGCTGTGGTTGCAGCTGCCAGGCCCCTCAGCCACCTAGCTTCCATTTGTGACTTTGGTGTTAATTTCATTATCATCTTACACTGTGAACCCTCTACAGAGCTCCCGGGACCTTCAGGCAGGTAGACCTATCAAAGATGGGGAGCATTATTGAAAATGTATTGAGAGAATGACTGTTAACCAACTGTTATGTAGCATGTAGCCAGCCAAAGCCCCCTAACCCTGGCAATGTGCCATCTTTAGACAGCTAGATTTATCTTATTTTATCACAATTACTGAAGAAAGATTGTAAAACCAATCAAATACCATCAATTAAATTTTTCCACTTTTGAGTCCATAAGAATGTATAATTTATCAGCAGAAGGCTCAGATATGTGAAAAAATTCCACTCTCAGAATTCTGGTCAAAGGTTTGTGTGAACTTCAAGGCTTAGGTTGTAAATTTTGACTGTTTGGTTCCCAATGTTGCCTGTAATCTGATGACAAATGATTATATCCACAATGACCTGACCACACAACATTTCTTATTTACCCTCTACTTTGTAATTTATGGACAGCCTTGAAAGTGAATAACAAAGTTAGATTTTTTATTCAAGGAAAGGGGAAGGAGAAAGGGCACAGAAACTTAGAGCACCTGAGGTATGTCAGTATACCTACAGTAGTACCTGCTATGAATTCCTGTTATCCTTGATCCACTTGGAAAAGATGCATTAGCCTTCGAGATAAAAAATGAGTTAATTTAATTTATCTATGTGAGCAATGTGCATTATGAAGCTTAATTAACCACATGCCATATTTATTTTCTGATTTCTGAATTCCTATTGGTTCTTAACAAATGATTCTTGGATAGTAAAGACAGAGTTGAAAAATGTCTGCTCATTTCAATAATTTTTATACACTAACACAGAACATTAAAGCAACACTGAGTAAAATGGTGGAATTTTGAAAAAAAAATTAAAATTAAAGCAACAAGGTTTTCTGCTCTGGTCAAGACATAATTATATTTTGTACGCCCTGGCCTTAAGCAACACACATTTCTGCAACAGAATCATTGAAAATGTTTTGGACATCAAGGTCTTATAATTGAAAACTTGCTGTCACTTAATTAACATTAAAAATTAGTGATTTGATCACTAAAATGAACTTCGTTAAGATTATATATTGCAATTACAGGTACATGTAAAGTGCTTCCATAACTTCGAGATAACAGCATAACTAAAATAAATTTCAAATTCACGAGAAAACTGTAGAAGAGTTTTCTCGTGATTTGATATTTATTTCAACAATCACATGTATGTTGATAATGCAAAAGTCAGCATAAGTATGCAACATTCACTAATTATGCGGTACCTCTACCTTTTCCTTTTGGCTCTTTTTTGAGATGAAATTGAACAATTTGCTGCAAAAAAAATTTTTCATCAGTCAAATTCGACAGAGAGGAGATCTTGGTGACAATTTGTTTTTCTTACCCTTGAGTTTGAGTTTTTTGTTTCTGTCTTGATGCAGGTATTGCAGACGTCGAAGTCCTGTTAAGGGCCGAGCTTGAATTTTCTCTTCTTAATTTGCTAAGCTGCTGAGCGAGGTTGTTTATCGGAGGATTGCCAGGAGATATACGGCTCTTGCTGTCATGAGATGACATCTGTTAGATACCCTGTAAATATTGAAAGACGGCCGAGAAATTCATAGAAAAGTTCTTAAGTTTTTGTCGACCAACTTGCGCTCGTAAGCGGCGAGGATACTCAGCATTTTTTCCCGCCAAAAATACATGACTGCCCGTAGCCTGAGAACTAAAGACAAATTCCAAGTCAAGCTAGTACCCAGTTCTCCTGACTGTTTAAAGATGGCTGCACTGACTGCACCTTGAGGAAGCGAGGCTGGGAATTGTGCGGAGATTATTTAGCTCTATCCTGCATTTTATATACTCTCGTTGTGCGATGATGGAGGCAGCTAGCAACAAAATCTACAAGTCAAGACTATTTACATCAAATGTTCTTTTACAGAAAGATGAATTGGAGGAGGTATGCCGGCTAGATCATATTTTCTGTGTACGAGAATTTCATTTTGATTAATTTAATGGGTCTATAAAAGTTGTTGTTGTTTGATTTTTAGAGATTAGAGAAGTGTCACGGCCTTCTCACTTCTGTTGTTTCCAACCTGTCTGAAAATGAAGCTCACGATGCTCTAAATCAAATGGTTAGTAATCAGTGATGATTTTACTAAATATAATTTCTATAACATAGTCTTAGATGCTGCCTGGAACGTTTTTGATTTGGCTACATGTAGGTCTGTTTTTTAAAAATTTTTTCATGACTCTTAACCCTTTAACTCCCGAAACGCAAAGATTAATTCTCCTCTGTAACTCCCTCATATTTCCTTGTGTTTTCTTTCCTTTCACTTCTCACCAATGAGGTTGTCAGTTCTTATAACCTGTTTGGAAGATATCATATTGGAATTGTGAGGAGAAGTTACATGTAGATCACTTTTGGGAGTTACAATATTAATGGTATTATTGATGTTCTGTTTTTATAGTCTGTTTAACTGTTTTATTTCCCATATGTTGTCCACAATTTTTCATGAAAAATGTCAAAAAGCCACAGAGTAATCAAGGTATATGGTAGAAATGAGAAAGCTCTCCTTGATTTTTCTACCAAGGAAAAACTGGTTTGGGTGAATTTTTCAGGTGTCCAAAGGTCCACAGCAGCATGAGGAAGCATCTCTTGGTCTGCTTTATATTATATTAGTGGAACAAACTGCTGCACCAAAGGTTAGACTTCATAAATTCTATGACTCCCAAGTGCTTGCCACATTGAAATTGTCTTGGTATATTTAATAAATATGTTGTTTGTAATATGTTGCAATCTACCATATATGTATATACTACGACAATGGTAGCATAGAAGGCCTGTTCTGATTGGTTACTCAAACTCTGAATATCCTTGCATCTCCATGATTTATAATTTAGACCTGAAGATATTGTAACTGTTGCAGGAGTAAATAAGTTAAAATAATCTTTTTGAGCTCTTTTATCTCACTGTTTAAAAATATCGCAAAACAGCTATTCACCTTAGTGTTGGTTGTTAGTCACCTCATTTTTGGTGAAAAGTTTTTGATTGTTGTACAATTTTTGACATCACATTTCTACCATAAATAGTCTTTATTTCCTCTTTTGTTGTTTATTATTCTCACCAGTGACACAGGTAAATTCTGGTATGAAGCTGATCTCTGAACTTTTAATAATGAATGCTACCTGAGTGGTAGCATCCAATATGAAAAGGCTCAAACCTAACTTCTGACTATTTCTAAGTACAAAAGATCCAGCAAGAGTTATTGATAATGCTTTTAAAATGAACAGCTTTCATCCTGACATTGCATTATTCCATATTTTTTTTTATCAAACAAGTGTGTTGAATTCAGTTACTATTATATCTGAAAGGCTTACAGAGATCTGACATGTATTACAAGAGATGGATTGAGTTTGATTATGACAAGATTGATTGGAATTGTCACAGAGAAGCTGAATAAGCTACTTGATGCTGTTAGAACACAGGTAAAAGATTTTAATTACACTTCACATGTATATGTCAATCTGACAATTGCTGAATTATCATGACTCAATGGCTTACATGAATTTCAGGAGTATCCTTTGTTTTCATGAAGAGGGTTACATTTTGAGATTATCAGATTCACGGGAGATGCTGTTGCCCAATTTTTAGTGTACCTGACTTCTGATTTAAAATACCATGTGGCAGACCTGGTTAAAGTGTTGCTTTATTGAACAAGAAACTTTCCTCTCACAGTGCTTCTCTCCACTCAGGGATTACAAATGGGTACCAGCAGACTTACAGGAAACTAGACTGATTGTTGGCTGGGATGACCCTGTATCTGGCATTCCTTTTGGGGGCAGGGGTGGGGTAGAAGGGCAGGCAAGAAGTGACATACACTACATGTAGGAAAAGCTCTGGCAGGATGGGCCATGCAGCCCTCATTATTAGGTGAATCTCAGGATATGGTGCTTGATTATGTTCTCCATTTGCTTCAGCCCTTGTCTGTAGCCCAGGAAGTTGCTTTTCTTTACAAAAATTCTGTAAATTGGGTTGTCCAAAACTTTTCTAATGACTGACAACAACAAAGAGAAAAAGTCTTGGATAATACACACTGGCTTTGTTACATCTAATCACATGTATACAAACATACAAGACAAGGTTATGGTGCTGGTGTTGCTTTGGGAATGGAGGTATTCGGAATAATTTGATATATGGAAGTTTATGGATTCAATGCTATGCTTTACCAGTCATAACTGATCTCTTTAATTTGGAAATGAGATCTTAAAGGGTATACAAGAATCATTAGTCTTTAATCTGCAAGATGAAACAATTGTACTGTGTATTGTCATGAATTTTACACACTGCTTTAATTGTCCAAAGGTATTGTGGCTTTCTAATGAACTCATTAAGAGCACTGTTCCTGGTGTGGAAGGACTCTGTCAAGTTCTCCTTAGGCAAATTTCTGGAGGTGATAATTCACCCTCGAATGTCTGGCTCGCAGAAAATGTATTAGGATTGTTGAACACCAACAGGTAAGTCTAGTGTGTAATTACTTCAGTGTCAAGAATGCTCTAGTGAATGGTTCCAGACAGCTGATCAACTTGTTCATTAAGGATTGAAAAGAAATATACCTATTTAATTTGCTGGAAATATACTTCACTTCTGTTTTATGTCTCACTACCCTTACAAACTCCATCCCAGACACTTCCTTTTTGGTGGTCATATATTAAAAATGGATGCCACAGAAACAAACCTTATTAAATATAGATTTTAGTGCTATTTGAAAAAGAAACCTGTATCGTCTTTGATAACGGGAAGAAACACAAGAAGACCAAACAAAATGAGGAAAATAAACTTGCAATCACATTCAAACTGACTTTAATCAAAGGTAACTCAGACACACAAAATACCTCATTTATATAAACATGAAATCTCCTCATAATTCATTTAGCAAAATATTGTTAAAAAACCAACCTTACTTCAAACATAGTTAATGTGGAAACATACTTTAGCAGTATGGGTATGAAACAGCTGCATGTAAACTGACTGGGTACAAATTGACTGAATCTGAAATGTCTGAAGGAATGAAAGGACTGGAAATTTAGTAGTACCGTAATTTAATTTCACTTCAAGAGGAAGTAAATCCCGTGTTTTGACAGGCAAAGATGAGCTCATCTTGCTCATCTTTCTTTGTTTTGATTTACAGCTTTGATCCTCCCCAAAAATACTTTTTAAGACACTATTTGCTATTTTCACATCTTGCAAATGCTTAAACATGTCTTGAGGACAGTCAAAACAAAGAAGACTGCAATAAATTTTGTGAATCTATTTTGAAAGCTATTGTTGAAGGAAACCTTTTTGCAATGGAGTAAGATGGGTGGATATTGGTCTAAAAACAGGGAAAAAAGATCCTTGCTTCTTGACTTCATGGAAGGTCAATAACTTAATCGTCTAGGCATCACTTGGAATGCCACGATGCAGAGAGAATCTTCCTCCAGTGTGCTTATGCACAAAAAATTGTTGAAAACCATTTTTTTTTGTTTTTAAATTTAGAGTAATTTTTTTTTCCCATTTGGTATCTGTGAAAATTGCAAGTCGTGTATCTCTCCTAATAACTATGCTCAAGAATCTACTTTCTTTTATACAATATACAGGTTAACATAACAGATTTCTATTAATGATAATTTTGTGTTATTTTTTATCAGAGCTTGGCTGGAGAAAAACCCTATACTCTTGGCCACTGCTGTGTATACTTACCTTAGATTATTAGAGGATCATGAAGCAGCGCCATTCAAGAACTTACGACAAATGGAAATTGAATTCTGTTCCTCCTTGTTGAAAGAAAGGGTATAAAAAGTCTATAAATATTCTGGTTATATGGTCACAACTTACCAACACTTAAATAAATTTCACAACGTTAGTATTCATAGTGAACATACAGTCATGCAGTTGTGCCAATGTATTTCCATGATGAAAGCATTCTTAACAATACCACACTACTTTCCCTCCTTTTCTCAAAAGAAAACTTAATCTGATCTTAATTTAACAAAACTCTAAATACTTACAAATAAGCACACACTTTACAAATTAAATGAACGAGTCCTTCACCTACCAAAATCCAAATACTGGTATTTACAAAAACAAGCATGCACTCTATGCACAACTTTGAATCGTAAATCAGTCTCTTAGAAACTAAATTCCTATTTGCAATAGTCCCTAGTTCAAAACAAAGTCATTAAACCTTGCTGGTCTCTGAATCTGATATATCGAATTTTGCACCTGCTGCTGTGGCCAAATCTCTTCATCTTACAGCCAACATCTACTTGTTTATTTTACTTGTTTACTTCTGCATCTGATGTGCCTTGCCCTTGTTCTTCTCCTGCATCTGCACAAGTGTTTCCATTCACTCCATTTTTTATTGTGTTGTCAGAACCTTCCTGGGTGTGGAATTCCTTGACAAAAGCTTGATTGCATCTGAGCGTCACTCTTGTTCATTCCAGACCACAATCTCACTTCCCATCCTTTGAACAACTTTTACAGGACTATGGCAGAAATTACCTGGCAGTTTGTTCTTCTTCTCTGCCCTCAAGAGCACTGCATCACCAACTTAAAAAGACTTTAAAATAGCTCCTCTCTTCTCGTTTGCGCAAGCCTTTCCTTTCAACTTGCTCGACCAGTCCTTCTCATGAACCTCATCTGTAGATAAGATAATGTTGAGTACATTTAACTCTGAAATGACTCGTTCCACCACACTTTCTGTGTGTCTGACCCCGTGCAGGACAATTTAAATCTTGCCCACAACTGAAGCATGTCTTTCTTTTCCTGCAATTTTTGCAGTCACTTCATTGACCTGATAATCCACTTGGTCAGAGCTAAACTGTCTCAACTGTCGATCATTCATTTCTTGGGATCTTGCAGTCCGAAACAGGTCATGTTAAGAAACTATTCCTTGTTTTTGTAAGAATTCTTGGTGCAGACGGCTTGAGAAACATTTGTCAGTGAATTGATCACAAATTTGATCATCTTCGTTGGTGCCAAATTTGCAAGCAACTGTGTGCAGATGCAATCTACAGACAAATTGGTCCTCAGTTTCACCACTTGCCTGCAAAGTTTGTTGAAGCAAATGTCGCTTGAAAGGAATGTGGGGACAAAATAATCTTCAAGCACCTTGAGTGTTGCCTCAAAAACATTCTTGTCATTCTCACTGGCCAATGTGTAGTAGATCTCTTGAATTAGCAACATGTAATACTAGAGCTCACTCTTAACCCCTTTTTCTGTTACATACAAATTAAAGGCTTGCCTCCATCTATTTTACCATTGAATTTAATTGTGTGGTTCTCCTCTCAGATTAAATGCTTCTTATCCCCTGACATCTTTGGTCACCATAGAATTTCCTGAACTGCCACTGTTTGTCGTGTTTTATTCCCCTGATCCACCACCTCCTGGCATCACTGGAATAAATCCTTATTAAAGCCATTTATGAAATGCCTTACAAAGTTCCCAGGGAAGTCCTTGAAAAACCTTAAGAAATTCTCAACAAAATAATTATTGCTTAATACCAAAAATCCTTGACATCCTTGAAATCCTTAAAATCCTTGTCGCCAATGCAAAGTCTATAAATATTCCGGTTATACAGTCACAATTTAATTTACAATGCACTTTAATAAATATTCATCAACTTAAATACATTTCACAACTTTAATAATCATAGTTAACATAGGGTCATGCAGTTGTGCTGATCTATTCCTATTATGAACACATTCTTAACGGTACAACACTACAGGGTATGGTCAATGAAAGATCAAACTTAAATCACATCTTACTGCCACATTCCCATTGATATTCAGTTATGATTAATAAGTGATCAAGTTAAAAAGTATGGAGTTACATCACCATGCACCCACAGTTGTGATGTGCAGCAGTCTCATTTTACCAGTATAATATTAACTTCATTGTACACTACCAGCTGAATATAAAAGTAGGCATGTGTCTTATCATTGTCATTTGAATGTTCTTGACAGTTTGCAGACTGCATTCCTATTGGACGAGACCTTGTGCGACTGCTTCAAAATGTGGCTAGGTTTGTCAAAATCAATCTGTTACGTAGTGCTTTCCTTTTCTCATGGATTCACAAGAGGTGGTATTTATTAATATATAGATTTAGCCAAGCCTAAAAGTGAGCTCGCATTTTTTTTTTCCTGCACGTCTCATGGGCACAATGCCTTGCCCAGGCCAGGACTAGAACCTGGGTTGTCCGACTCGGAGCCCAGTGTGCTGACCACTGGACTAATGGACAAAGCCGTGGCGTTGGCATGCCTGCAGTACAGTTGATCATGCATGTTGAAAGTAGCACCTTGTATGGTCATACGGTTGTACGGTCGTACGGTTGTATGGCCACACGGTCGTATGGTCATACGGTCGTACATCCAAATTTTTTCAGCTTGATGGGTTACTACTATTTTGTATAATTATGGGGCTACACTCTGCGAGCTCTGCTAATAATGAGACATAGTCTTTGGCCTATTTTGGAATCAAAAGTTAAAACAACTACCCAATGAATTAAACTCTGTAAATTCTGCCAAGAATCCTCTTTATCAAAAGCCAATTCTGGAACTTTCTGTATGTATATGAGTCACAACAAAACTGTTGGCTGTGTGATGACAAGACAAGGGGCCAAGATTATAAACAAGTACTTCTTTGTCTTGTGTCTAAGAATACCAGAGTTCAATGCACTGTGGAAGGATATTGTACACAAACCTCAGTCGCTGTGTCCACAGTTTACAGGTATTTATGCTTTTGTTTTTTAAATGTTCTTCTCTGTTTAAGTGTAATGGTTATGAATACAACAGATAGCTTTCATCATGTGTGACATTCTTGGACCTGACTGTGAAAATATTTGAAAACATTCTGATCATGTTGAACTACTGGTACATATAACTGATTAGTAGAGACATATACATGCAGTATAAATTTATCTAGTTGCAACATGTGAGCCTGGAAGACTTTGCATTTAGGTGAACAATGTTGATGGGATCTCATTGATGTATCACATTTTTCAAAGGTATTGCTCAGTTGCTTCACACAAGAACTTCTCGAAAGTTCCTCGCATGTAGACTGCATCCTGAGATGGAGAACAAGATTTTGTTTTTAACGTCTAAGGTACAGAAAGAGTCCAAATCTATCAGCTGCCTGATACTAGTGTACTTTATATAATAAGCTCAGTTATGCATGCATTCTGATTAGTTCTCACTTATGATCTATTGGAGGACAGACATATAGACGATGTCATCAATAAAGCTTTTTTAAATTCTTTATTATATAAAACAAATAGATTCCAAGTTGCCGTGCATCTGTTCAGTAATAGATCACAGAGGACGTCAAAATGTGGTAAGAACATCAGTGACACACTTGGCTGCGCCTCGTGTGCCACTTTTTTGTTCTTACCACATTTTGACATCATCTGTGATCTATTACTGAACAGATGCATGGCAACTTGGAATCTATTTGTTAAATATTTAACTATCACTGACCAACAACACATCATTAAGTTTCCATGTAACATAACTATTAAATGAGATCTGTACAAGAGCAATGTGCATTTTGTTTTTGTTGCCTTGATTTTCAAATAAATTGATCAGTCCTTTGAGCACAGCAATCAGAAACCCATGTTTATGGCTTTCTCTCATTATCAGGTGCCTATGATACTAAATTAAATGTGAAAATGAGAAAGCACTTACAAAGGTTTCCAGGTGTCTATTACAAATGTGAGGTTCCAATATTGCAGTCTGTGGACCCGCCTTAGAGCTACATGTACAAAATTGATAGTTTTTATGAAACATACTCTCCAAGAGCAATGTAAATGTCACTCTCTTGCAGTGTATTATAATTGAGATTTATCCTTCATTACTGACAGGTTAAGTTTGGTCAGCAGAAAAGATATCAGGACTGGTTTCAAAAGCAGGTCAGACTGATTGTTCTGTTCATAATCATTTTCATTATGGTACAATGTTCACCTTGAAGAGCTCTGAAAAGTGCATGTACATGTGCATGTAAACATGTAACTTCTCCCTATAATATTCAAACATTAATCAGCAAACAGATTACAAGAATACTCAAACTTATCAGGTAGAAGTTATGTCTTGATGCAGCACCAAATTTTAAAAACTTATTCACAGGGAATGTGTAAAATTAACAATCAGATCATGAGAGTTTAAGGGTTAATAATTATTTGTCTGTATTCATTTGAGGTGATGATAACAATATTGATTAAAAATTAATATTGATATTGCATTCGATTTCAGTATCTGTCCACCCCTGAAAGCCAGAGCCTGCGGGGAGATCTGATTCGCTACATTATTGGTGTGGTGCATCCTTGTAATGAAGTGCTGTGTTCTGATATTATACCACGATGGGCCATTATTGGCTGGCTTTTGACATCTTGTCAGGTTATTGGCTATTATTTTGATGTGTGTATTACATCAGGGAGGTTTCAATTTTATTTTAATTCTTTATTTACTCTGACAGACATCATGCCAGGAACTGCTATTATATTAATTTAGTTTCAGTGTATTCATTATTTATGGTTCCACAGATAGAGAATGACACTCCATTCTACTTCTACCTGTTTCCTCTTTTACCTCCTCTCTGATTATTTTATGCTGTGTTTTTTGTTCCAGACTGCAGTTTCTACAGCAAATGCTAAACTTGCCTTGTTCTTTGACTGGCTCTTTTATCAACCAGATAAAGATAACATTATGAATATTGGTAAAGCAAATCTTTTACTTTACATTTTTGAGCTTTGATCTCCATATTGTGTAAAATTAATGATAAAATTATATTAAAACTACAAACCTAGAGAATTTTTCTTCATGTCTGTTTTGCAGTGACATCTATAGTGAAATCAATTGCTTAGGTGATATTTCTTTTAAGGCAGACAGGCAATTACTTTTTTCCTCAAGATCTGTTGTTCAAGCCACAATTTGTGTGTTCCTTTCTTAACCTTAAAGCAGTTTTTACAGCCAAATTAATCTTTTTGATCTACAGAACCTGCTATTTTGTTGATGCACCATTCTATACGAAGTCACCCAGCAATCACAAGTACCTTGATGGACTTTCTCTGTCGGGTAAAATCAATTTTTTTTGCTGTTTTATTACTTTCACAATTCTACTAATTGTATTGGAAACTTTTTTGTAATTGCGTGCTGGAAGGAGGTTATTTATTGATTACCCACTGATAATCCATGTGTTAAACTTGTACCTTAATGCAATGCAAAGTATGTTTTTAACTTATTAAAAACTTGTACCTGAAAAAAAATAATATACTGTGGTTATTTCTGTTTGGCAAGATTGCTTAAAATGGTTGGTCTCTTTTCACCAGATTATTCAAAATTACAGCACTTTACCTGATGTTCAAGTTAAACAGGGAGTTATCAAAGCATTTCGGCATATTCTCAGTAAAAAAGTTGTAATGTAAGTATATTTGGATGTCATGTTTACATTTCTTATTTGAGTGTAGTCAGTCTTTAATATGCCTATCTCTCCAGAGGTAGCAGAGCAATTTGAAGCATGGCTGGGGGGACGGTCGGGGCTTTTCCAAAATACTAAGCCAAGTGCATACCCTTTTGGTGATCCTCAGAAGAAGAAAGTGTTAGAAAGATATGATAAACCAAACTTACCCTATTTATACATGTACAAGCACTAATCATGTCCACCATTTTATTGGTTTATGGTACATTTTGAGGTCGCTGGAAGCAAGGGTGTTTAAAGCAACACCTTAAGATGGTAATACTGACTATTTTGACAAACTACACATAATTTTATGCTGTGGGAGCAATATTGTCAGCAATGAGGTGTGAGGGGGGCTGAGACCTCCCAAATTTTTAGCTGGAGAGGGCTGTAGTCCCTTCCCCTCTCCCCCACCTGCTCTACCACATGTATGCTATCTTTCTGACTGTATATGTATGTCTGTCTGTGTCTATATATCTGTTTGTCAATTTCCTACTGTGTAAGTTATTTTAACTTGCTTATCAAGCAAGCTCAAGGCTCACATTTTTCATCAAACTTTGCTTTGGAAAACTGTTCACTTTTTGAAACAGATGATATCCATGGACATATATCATTGATCTTTTCCTGCCAAATGGAGGCCTTTGTGTTTATATTGTTAACCTTCATTTTTGAAAACAACAATTAATTATCTTCAGCTAATGTTAGAGGGGTAAGCCCCATGCAGTGATTGAGTTTCTGATGACTATTTCTTTCCATCTAGGTCCTTGTCTCCTTTGTTTGACAACCCTAAGATGGACAGAGACCTTAGAAGTTTGATAAGAAACACCTTGGCTGAGTTCTGTGACTCAGGTACTCTTTCATTGACTTGCATCTCTCTGTGAAAATCAACTCAGCACTGTGTGTACTGACCTAGAAATGATTAATCATTTTGAAACTTGAATGAAAGTATCCAAGTGAAGAGCTACATGGAAGTTTGATCTTACCTCCATAAGATTTGCTTTCAAAGTCAAAATCTAGAAAATCTGATTAAATTGGCTCTTAACAGATTCCATTGCTAGAGAGTGTAGTGATGTCAGTAATGACACCCTGCTTCAGAACTGTTCACGTAGGTAATAAAAATGTGATATCAATTTTAAATTATTGGCTGAGCATTTTTTTAGGGAAAATTTAGGTATATCATCACTGCATAACAGCTTAGCATAGCAAAATTATGAGGTTCAGAGCCAACATAGGTTACTTCCCTGTTTTCAGTGGTTGTGTAATCTCAAGATAGGGAAATTTTAACCCTCGGACCCCTAAGAGTGACCAGCATGTAATTTCTCTTAACAATATCACCCCTGAATTGCACATGAAGGTCATGAAAATAAAACAAATGATCATCATCTAGCATTATGGAGAATAGGAATGATGATGTTATGGTGTAGTTGTATCTTGAGAAACCAGCTGTTCTTTAAAAAAATGGTCTGTGACCCTACTTTTAAATTATTACCACAAAAAGCAAAAGTCATGGGTATCTTTTACAGGTTAAAATGATGTTATGTTACCTTTTCTGGTTGGAAGGATGCTCTTAACATGGTCTTAAATAAATAAGCTTTTCTGTGATGCTAATAGTTTCCTTGCAACTGAAGTTGGTTAATTGTGTTGTCAAAGTGATAGTGCATGAACTTACTGGAAACGTTTTTGAGTCTCAAGCACACAAAGTAAATTTAAAGTTTGCAGAAGCTTTACTTTGCTGTAATAACATTACATGTGAAAGAAATCATCACAACTTGTTTAGAAATATTTGATAATTATTTTCAAGGAGAAAAGCAATCAAGTATAATGTTGGTACATTATAGAATTGGTGTTTAAGAATTATGAGACAATTTTGAGCCACATTAACACCACATCTGTCGGGGTATGATTCTCAAATAAGGTTCAAACAATGGAATCTCTGTCTCTGATTTATTTGGATTTGTGATCAAGAATTGTTTTCTGTTCATCCATTTTGTGTTTACCTTTCCTTGGCTTGTTACTAATTTGCAGGTTCAAAACTTGAAGAATCATCAACATCAGCGTTTAGCAAAGTAGAGAGCTCCTCAGCTTCTTCATCAAGTGATATGCTCAGTTCACTGGGATCCAGAATGATGGAGGCAGACACGAGTAGCAGCTCAAAGGACACTGAATTGGCGGACAGTGGGGTTGATGAAGAGCTGGAGCCACCTGACGAAGAAGCTGTGTTCTCTGACCCTGATGAGGACGAGGACAGTGACATGACAGCCAACAAATCAGACAACAGTAAAGAGAAGGACTACGAGTTTAAACCAATTGAAAAGGAAGCTTTAGATGAGAATGAAGAAAGAGATAGCAATGAAGATATCACTGAGCTTGAAGATCTTGAGAATTTGGGAGATGATCTGAAAGAGCTGGTTATTAAATTCTCTCAACAAAGGTTAGTATCGCCCTTTTTGTATGTACCCTGAGGAAATAATTATGGACAGGGAGATATTTGATCATAGCATTTAATTCAAGATCTAGCTATGAATCTTCGATAAATGCTGAAATAATTGCAATTTAACCAATTAATGTTTCATTTCTTTCTGCAGCGACCCGGCAGTGCGATCCAACAAAATGGAAGATATCCTTAAATGTATTGAATCCCTGGTGAGCCACTTCATTCTTTAAATTAAGATTTCCGTCTTTTTAAAATTGTATAAAAGCATCGTTCCAGGATCCTGCTGCATCAAAAGAAGTACACGATGCTGATAGCATCTAGTAATAATGATCAATTCCAAAGACTTTCGTCAAAGAACTTCGTCAAGATTGGTGGTGGAGTATGCATAAACTGCCACATTGTGTCTCATGCGTCGAAAAACTCTTTTGAGTATTTAGAAGGCAATAAGGCAAATGAGTCAATTATAACTATTATCATGTTTTTAAATGGTATTGAGTACTACTATCCACCCTAAGACAATTTACCGTTACACTGCCAAATTGTATAAATTGTGTCTTAGATCTAGTTTTCTTATTGGAGCGCTTTTCGATTAAGTGTAACACTAACCAAAGTTATCAAACGGATAACTTTGGTTTGATGAAGAAAGGAAAATACCTCTAAGAGACAAGGAGAACTCAACGTAAAAACAACTATACTGCCTTGTGGGGGCAGTTGTCAGTTGGGACTTTGTCCTGTTACTGTCCCCTGTCACGAACTTGTTTTTTTAAATGTATTTGTACATTTTTTTAGGCGAATGAATTAAATTAAATCAAAGTGCGAGAAAACGTGGGTGACCAAGTCGTGAGTGGTTTTAGTTTCGCATCTGATTTTCACAGAGCTAAGTAAAGTAAAATCGAAGCAAACCCGGATTACAATCTATGCTCAATTGAAAATTGCTCTAATTAGACTTTACTTTCAATCTCTGGTTTCTTTGACATTATTCATTGATTCTGAGTTAGTTACTTGTCTTTTGATCGTCACTTGCCTTTTTCAGGATGAATTTGAAGATGAAACAGCAAAGTCTTTAGCAGTTTGTCTCAACTTTTGCCTGATAGATGAATTAATGACTCCATGTATCTCAAAGGACAGGTTAACACTATTATTATATATTAGACTTACTATTTAAACTCTGATTGGTCGAGAGCATGTAGTCAATGTACCAAAGCGTGTGAAGTTGCAGCAGATATTGGGTTAGCATGTGAAATACAAAGTCTGCCTAGTTTCGAAGCCCCTCGTCCGTGTAATGGTCTCAAACTTTTGCAAACTTAGAGAGAAGTATCTTCTTTTGCAGATTGTTTAAACAATGCGTAATAAAACAATTACTGTTTTCGCATGTTATCATGTTATCATGTTACCTCGTGTCCTAGTTACCTGGCTCAGCCTTCGGCTTTGGCAGATAACTCAGACCTTGGCACTGACAATTCATGATATCATACGTAACCTCGTTCAATGATTTCTAACTGTCGGTTTTCAAATAAAAAACGTAACGCAATGATTGGGAATGAAGTTTTGGTATAATGAGAAAACTAGTACCCCTGTTAATCGTGGATTTCCTAAAGCGCATTGTCAGAGTCTTTTTTTTGTTGTTGTTGTATTCGAATTAATATTTAATAACACAAGCCATCAGCGAGAAATTTAACACTCACTAAATGTCCTTGTTTCAGTGAGCATGTCAAAATCAGATCAAATCGTTCATGGTTTTTTTACTTGCGCACAAAACCACTAAAAAACTTTGCCATTATTTTCAGGAATCCAGAGGACTGTCTAGATGGACCAATCTATGTGCTGTGTCGGTGAGTACCAAATGTCTCGCCTCAGTTCATCCCTGCCCATCTTGTAATACATTACCAATGTTCATTTTATACTTCAGGAGTATCTGTGTTCTTCCCACCCATGATGTTGGTAGAGAGAGACACCTGACATTGCTAGGGGCTCTACACACAGTGGATCAAAAGTTTGGCTATCGTTTTCTCTTCTTCCTAAAAGCAAGGTTAGGAAACTGCTTGTTCCATATTCTTTATCCTTGGTTTCTGCTTGGTTTCTGCTTGGTTTCTGCTTGTTGTTTCATTAGTTTTAATAGATACTTAAAATAGACGGTATCTATTTCAAGTATCTGATTTTCTGTTAAATTGATGAAGTACAGCATTGTGTTATTTTTTCTAAGGCTCTGAAAGTTAATGAAAGTCAGGTCTACGTGAATCAGTCACTTTCAAAGAAATAAAAACAGCTGTAACTTGAGTGGTCACAAAAAAATTGCGTGACATCCTAAGGAATGGCCGGGAAGGAAACTAGGCCATGTCATCAACAATGTTTATTCCTTAACTCCGATAACCTACTTTCTGTCAGTTGATGGGAAGTGTTTTCTATTGGATGTCCTAATACAATACCAAAGTAACCACAAAAGCCATCCCAACCAAAGAAAATAGCACAAGGAGCCACTGAGTAATGAAAAGAAAAACAATCAAACTCCACGGTGAAGTGGACGGCACAAATTTCAACAATAGTCACAGAGCTGGTGCAGTCCCCAAATACTTTCGACAAACTGCTCTAATCTATTTTCGCTGTGATAGTGTTACAGATGACGAGCGGCTCACAATATACGAGGACTTTGCGAACACGTTCCGAGGAGAGAAGACACTTCAAGGATGCATAAGAGATGATTTGAAGGTCTGGCGGTTACAACTGTATCTAGTTATTGCTGTTACGTTTAACTGCTTTTCTAAGCTTCATTATAAAGTTGTTATTATTTCTTTATGCACACAGGTTTGCCAGGATTATGATATCAAGGCCTTCCGCTATATCATATGCTCTATTTACAAAAAGGTATGTGCCATATCCGTTTGCTGGTACTAATCAGATGATCGGTACTGGCATAAGTTGTTAACGTGTTCATCATTATTGGTCAAACTTAGATGGAACTTCTTTCTCAAGTATCTGCGAAGTATCCCAAGAGGTTTGTAACCTGTTGATTTCGTAACTTTCTAGTTTCCAGAATACGTTGTAGGAAACTCTGAAGTTCTTCACATGCTTGTTGGAACCATGGAGCCAAGACAGGTAAGAATAGAGAAAAAAGGGCAAAACAGTTTATTTCGTAGTGCAGTGGAGTAATAATCGGTATTTTCTCAGCTAAAAACACCATATAATTATAAAAAATGTGTCCTTAGATGTAAAGTACTTTACGCTGGTTACTGCTAGTTTTGCTTTCGTTTATAGCCGTTCTTTGGTTTTTCACGCAACTGTTCATATTAAGTGTGTGGCTTGACATTACAAATGACGGCTGCGTCACTGTAAAAAGATTCAATGCCTTCTCTATCCTGGCTCGTTCTGTGTGTCTACCCGTCTTCTTTTTGCCTACTTTAGAGTCAAATTCGTTTCTTTTCTTTTTGGGTTTCCATGAGGCGCTAGTAACCGTTTCTTGTGGAGCACATAATAGGCTCACTTTCGTAGCAGTTGTCACTTCTGTTGCTGTCTGATTTGTTGAAAACGTTATAACTCCTTACCCATCCCTATATCTGTCTTTATCGTTTTACAGTTAAACCAGCTGATGAGTGAGATAACTTTGGGGGAATTGACAGTATTTGGAGAGGATAGCAAACTTGACACCTTGCTAGGTAATTAAATAAATGGCATTCCCTCCTTTTTAGGGAATTAGTACTTTGCCTCAAGTTTATAGGTCTTATGGTTATCCAAACTCCCGCAGTTACCTTTGTCCGATGCATTTCATAAGTATTAATCGAATTGTAGATTTAATCATCAAGTGTTTTAATAACTTTTAACATTTACATTTACATCACTTCACTGCAAATGATCAGCAATCAAAAGCATAGGAGGATTTGAGGGTGGTTCTTATGAACAGTTATCCAAGCCTTTCCTAATTTTCAAGTAATATCAGATTTCATTGGTGTGACTTTATTTTTCTCTGTAATTAGTCCAATTGCGCCATCCCATCACCAATCAGATACGAGTTATCACTGATTTTTCTTTCTTTATCTATTTGTTTATTGACCACGAAAACGTAAAAATAGTTTTCTTCAATCTAGCATTGATTGCCTCAGGGAAGTAATATTACTCTGGGAGAATTTGGTTTTATCAACTGTGTAGATAATGTAAAATGGCCGCCGTTAACAGTTTTTAAGCTTACGTTTCGAGCGTAAGCTCTTCGTTAGAGCAATAGATGGCATCAGTCAAGTAAGAGTTTCTGAAGAAATAAGGTGAGGAAACCCAACAGACTCTGGAAACAACTGATCATATTGAACATCCTATTTACTTCTCTTGTGTACAGAGAGTACTCTAGAATGGGAGTCATTTGAACAGCAGTGTGTGTGGCACCTTATCCAAGCTGAGGATGTGTTGCTGGAGTCATTTGTCAATATTCTTCCTTCACTTAAAAAGGATCTGCATGCGGAGGCTTTGTCAAACTTACTTATTCTCATGAAAAGTGTTGCGTAAGTCTCCTCACTATCAGCCTTGGCCCAGTTGTATTAAGGTCCGACAACATTATCCAACGTATAAATCGTTATCCAGCGGATAAGTGAGAGCAAAATGTACCACACTATCCAGCGGATAGAGATTTATCCAGCGAATAGCGTTATCCAACCTTGGAACAACTGGGGCCTTTTTTACAGCTTACATCCAGAGCATCGGTGTATGTTTCTGCTGATAGTACATGTTAATCTGTACCCAATTCATGGTCAAAATTTCACTTCCATCCGACAGTCGAAGGATCGTTTAAATCAGTGTACTTTTAAAAAGATTCAGGTTTGGCCTTAAAAGTCCTGCATCAGTCGAAACAGCTTATTATTTTATAGGGGGTTTTAAATTTGACTGCAATCATAAATTTTTAATTATGGGTGCGGTTAAACGATGTAGTTAAACGGTGAATATCACATGGAGTCATTGAGAAACAATTCAACAGTTAAGAGCGGGAAATACGAGAGAAACAACCTCTGGATTGGCTGGGTTTTGAGTTTCAAAAGGCATTCACAGGTGAGGAGGGGTGAAGGATAAATCTAATCTTAAGTATTTTCGGATTACTTCCCCTTTTCAAGTCAAAACTGCTTGGCTTCAAATTGAGTCCTTTTTGCTTTCTCCGTCGAAAGCAATTTTAATTTTGGTGTGGAAAGCATTCTAGGATCGCATTGGTTTTACTTTTCCTTGCCCTGTGATTGGTCCAAAAAACACACGTCACCCTTTCGACATCTCAGGCTCATAACTTCTACCAATCAAGACTTGCGCTTACTTCGAGCTCTCATAGACTCCTTTTTGTTTGCGGTCAATGCAATGGGATGTTGTAATTGGTTTGCTCTCAATCAGTTTGGAATACTTTACTTTTTAGCCAGATTTCCAAAGATTCTTGGTTTAACTGAACTTTGATCTCTGAGTACGAGGGTTCTTAAACATGTTGACGTTGAACGAGTTGCAATAAGAGCCAATCAGTACTTAGTTTCTCTAGCTCCAATCCCTTCCTCCTCTTAATGACCAATTGAATTTTTGTTCCAGTCCTTCTGCGGACCTTGTTATTCCAGTCTTATCAATGGAATGTTCCGAAAAAAGGCCTGGAAACCAGTTTAGCGTTTCGCTGCTTAGATACTGGGCACAGGAATACCCAAGAGAACTTGCACAACTGATTGGCCAACAGCTTTGTAAACAAGCCTCAGCAAGCAAGAAAAGAAAGTAATGCAGTGTATTTATGCTACTGATTTTTTGGTTTTGAGTATGCAACACTTAATAGAAAAGTCCACCTATAATTTTGCGCTTTTTACCAAGCTAATATTGAAGCAGGTAACTTTTAAGTGAAAGAAAATGTTACTCAGTGAATGACGCAGGAATACTTCGAGGAAAAGAAACCAGAGTGCTGCTAATAGGAGTCGAACCTACGACCTTCCGATTAGTACTTGGGATGCTCTACCTCTGAGCTGTAGGAGACTTGCGACAGGCTTGAGTATTTAACTGGGTCCATGGTGACAAACTTCCTGTATACTGCTAGAAGAGGAATGTAGATATTTAATGCTTCTGTGCAATGATGGGGTAACTCGTGTATGTATTTGAAGGGACCTGCACCTGAGAGTTTCTCGTCACTTACATTTTTGCCATGTTTCTTTCCAGAGGTGCTAAAAGTCAGCTAGGTACAAATTTGGAGCTTGTACTGAGCCATTTGGACTGGCTTCACAAGATATGCCAAGAGCAAGAAGATTTGAGCTGTAAGTTTCGTGCGTTTTTTTTTAATGATTCGGCACAACAATCGTCTCACAGCACTGCTCAAACAGTTTGTATCGCGAAACATAACCGATTATTGGTCATGTCCAAGAGACAACTATCGTTTCCATCAAAAATTTTCCCACAGCACATCCACCTAATTTTAGTGTTTTGAACATTTTTTCTAATAACATATAATTAATGAAGTTCTGTTCCGAAAAGATTGGTTGTTGGAATAGAATGGTCGTGGAGCTTCTTTTTTTGAGGTTTTGTCACTGAGCTTTCTTTACTGGTTAGGTGGGCATTTGGTTGAATACTAATTAGTGTACTTTTACCTAGAGGAAATGATGGGGAAGTGAGGGAAGTATCTGGTCTTCTAGGTCTTGCAATACGTCAATGTCAGAGAAGTGATCGATAGATGGAGTTGTTTTCTGTAATATCAGCATAACGGGTAATCCTGATCTGATGTACTTAGAGAACGGGATAGTTTGGTTGACAGAGTGGAGAGGTGTTCTGTCCATGAAAAAAACTGCGGGAAGTGGGGAGAAGGTATTACGTAGGCCCTAATTCACGGAGCGGATCTCTGGGGAAAGGGACTTCCGTATACATCTTCAACTTGAAAATGTCTTTTGAGGGAATCTACATATCCAAGCCAACGCCCTAATTTTTCTTTTCTATGTCCTTATTTCTCCTTGATTTGATCTTGTTGAATTTTGTTTTTGATATTTTGTGGGCAGTTTTCAAACACGATGGCCTGAGATCTGCTTTAGATCAAGTCAAGCAAACTGCAAGCGAAGCAAGAAAAAATAAGTATGTTCACAATTTTATATTTGACTGTGTTCGTTATATTCTGAATACTTGGTGAAAACACTGCTAACTTTCACACAGGCCCTAGGAGAGAGCCAGTGAACTCTAGGGTACTTTTGTGGTCGCTGTTTTTTGACATTTTCCGAGCGGATAACTGGAAGTTGTCTTTGTTGGTTTGTTACAGGTTTAAGCAGTTATTTTCAATGTGTGAAGATAAAGACAGCAGGAAAAGGACTACACGGGCATCCATTCTAGCTGCTAACAGGGCAGCATCATCTTCCTCTGAAAGTGAAGAGGTTAGCCAATGAATCTCGCACACTGATGATGATGATTACTTTCCTCGTTTTTATTAGAGAACTTAAAAAGGTCTAGCGGGTAGAATCAAAATAGTTAACTTTATGAATTTCTTAGCCGTCTCCGTGAAATTAACAAAAACTTTGTGGTCTGAGATCGGAAATCTGACGGCCAATTGTTTGAAAATTGAACGCTGCTCGCTTATCTTGTGATGAACATTATATATGGCGCCGTTGAAGACGGTAATCACATCCACCAACTCGTGAAATTTTCAAGAAAAATATAAATTCAATTTTGAGTTGACCATCTCTGATAATGTTAATTGGACGCACAGGACTAAAAAGAACTTATTAGAGATACTAGTAAATTAGTGTGACCTTCCCTCTTTCATTTGCAGGAAGAAGAACAAGCAGTGAAACCTCGCAACGCTAAGCGAAGGAGGAAAGCCAACACCACTGTTGATTCAGACAGTGATGAATAGTAATAAATCGCTCTCTTGCTGTTTTTTACCCATGGATTGCTCTCTCTGTAAGAGTGCGTAATAACGGCAGCATCGATAGAAGGAAGCGAAACGTTTTGGCTCCCGGAATGAATTAGGCTGCGTTAAATGTGGACTTGAAAATGACGTGCTCGAGTTAAACTTGCAAGGATCTAGAAATTGCGCAGGTAAATGAAATACTTGAAATTTCGGCAGTCGGCATCCTGCAAGGTGATCAAACCACGATCTATAAAGTGGAGTTGAATGATCTTCTCAGTCCACTCAAACAATCAGTGATGCATATTTAGCCATTTCTACTTTTTCAACATTGTAACTCTTGAGTACTGCCTTTATGTTCCTTTAGGGGAAGAAAACTCTGTCCTCTTTAAACATAGTATTTTCATCCATTTTACCTTCACCTTAATGCACTACATCTGCCTTTAATTGGTATTTTCATAATCCAAAAAGATTGGAGTTTAGTGCAAACTAAACAATGAACGAAGAAACTCTTGCTATTCGATTATATCTCTGTCTTTGCGGAGGTCTGGGTGCTTATTCACTGGAATTTTTCTCATACCAAGAAGAGTTTCAACAAAGTTCTTGTTTCATTCTGAGAACTCTCGTTCAACGAAGTGTTGTGTTCTCTTACTAAGTAACATAAAGGGCTGGAGTATTTGCTCCTTTCCTCGGCACGATCTTCCTCGCCGGCTGCAAGATACAAGAACACGAAACGTATTTCGATCACTACTTCACGTTAACGCGGTTTTGACCTCTAAAAAAGTGACCAGCATCTAATTTCTCCTCACAATCACACATTAAGGTCTCGAGAATAAAGGAAAGGACCACTAACTAAAGGAACTGTTCATTGATAAAGAAGTTCTCCTTGTCAGCACTTTGGGAAATGTATGGAGAATAGTATGGAGAATATGGATATTGATATTAAGGTGAAAATAGTTAAACAGGAAACGAAACAGTCAGAAATTACTTGGGAACCCTGTGGAGCAACTACGTTTCATCTTGCCTAGAACTTAAATTCGTGTAGCACACCGGCGTAGCCAGAAAGGTTCCGGCGACGCTAATATCCAGTCATCTCGACCGCACAAGTTGGTCAATAAAGGATTTATTATATGTTTTCACTTTATAAAGAATCAACTATGAGTATGACTTGTTTATTTCGAGAGCCCCCCCTCCCTCCCTCCCTCCCCGGAAAGAAAGCCAAATGCCAAATGTGTTTGTAGCACAATAAACCCTCTAGAGTCGTTTATGTTTTCTTTGTTTCGACTGTCTTCTAGTGCTTTTTGCGTCTCCGTCGCTGACAACGTCCAAAAATTACGAACTTTGTAAGTCCGCTCCATGCTGCTCCACACAGTGTTTATCTTGCGCGGGATCAAAGCGGGCAATCCCGAGCTGACGAACGGACAGACCCACTGAATGTGTGACTGACTGCCTTACTGATGGAGAAAGGACGGACGGACGGACTGACTGATTTAGCTGGTTGACTGAATGACTGCCTGACGGACGGACGGACTTACTGACTGACATACCAGTTGGTTGACTGACTGAAGGATGCAAGAACGGACGGACGGCCTCACTGACTAGCTGTTTCACAGTCTGACCGACGGGGACGGAAACAGACGTACGGACTGACTGACTGACTGAAGGACAGATTGACTGACTAGCTGGTTGACTGACTGACGTACGTGACAGACCACATGATGGGGTCAATTTAATACTCGCTCATTACTCACGTTTGGCTCTCTAACTTTCTAAAGCCTATCGAAGCTTCATTCCCTAAATTTGGTTGGTTTTAGACAATTTAAAACAAACATTCTCTAAGAGGGTATTTCATAAACAACGATGCGATTGTCCGCCACTCAGCTTTGCTTTTATAATTACTTTAGAGAGGGAGAAAAAACTCCTAAAAAAGAACCCTGCCTTAGAAAATCAGCTGAAAGAATCCCGTGACAAAATGAACGATCTACACATCCACGGCAAGAAAATGACAACGAGTCTCTCCAGACTGAAATTAAATAAGTTTGCATAAAATGTACGGGCGGTTGACGTCAGTTTCATCTTTTTTAGAAAAATAGTGTCTTGCATGACATTATCTCTTATAACCGGAGTCTCCTTGAAGGAGACTCCGGTTACCAGAGAAATTGTCGTGCAAGACAAACAGATCTTTTAAAAAAGATGAAACTGACGTCAACCGCCCGTACATTTTAAGCAAATTTATTTACCTTCAACAAACAATCAATTACAAAATGGCTGGGATACAGTCGGTTACAACCAAACCTGATCTTCCGAGCCAATTGACTCCTTAACTTGGCTCGTAACTGTTTGTGGGAAGATCGGTAATCCACACATTGGCGAACTGGATGCTCGTTCATTGTCATTGCCTGAAATGTGTTTGTACAAGAAGTTTATAACTCCACCTCAGATGGAGTTATAAACTTCGGGTACAAGCACATTACACAATCTTTCAAGCCTTTGCGAAACATAATTATTTGCTCAGTTGGTGAAAAGACGGGAGAAACTTTGGTCGAAGCCTTAAGTTTACGCCCTAGAATTCAACTTGCTTTACTTGGAGTTAGCCTCAGAAAAATCTTGTTTATCGAAGTTCATTCTTTAAAGCCATCCCTGAATCAAATTGTTTACATTTCAAATAGAATGAACATAGAAATATAGAAATGCGATCAATCTCTAATGAGCTCAGCTTTTGTAATCACAAAAAACCGAGATGAAGAATTATAAATGATCAACTTTTCCTTGCGTGGTCAACTGAAGGAATGTCAAGGCCCACTGTATGATCAATTGATACCGAGTTACTAGTCACTTACTGGTAAAGTTTGTTCCACTTAAGTCGAACTCTCTTGAACTTCTGGCGGAGTTTAAATAGCTTCAACTGGGCTGGAAGAGAAAATAAAAATTAATTGCAAACCGAAGAAATCTTCAGCCGACTTCAAAACTTTCTCTGTAAGAATTCAGTAGCTTTCGAGAGGGTGAGATGTGATTTATCTTTGGCAATACAAAATTAATCAAACGAGCGACTTTTGGGAACGATGCGGCTGAAAACAATCTGAGATATTTCTAACGTGAGCTATGTAGATATTATCTCTAAGCTTAAGTCTGCTGCTCACAACTAATAACTAATAGAATGCCTTACTTACTACATGGCATTGTAATATTCCCTTATTTTTTCCCATTTCAGCGATTCTTTCTGCATCAAAGGAGACAATCAGTGAGAAAGAAAAAAAATCAAACAGCTTACTTCTTCTCAGATTTTTAATGAGATCTTTATGTGTCTCTCTGAGAGAGACACGTATAAAGATCTGATTAAAAAATCTGACGATAGATACACGACATTTTCACAAGAGCCTGCAGAAAGCTGCAGACGATGTTGACAAAATCAGTGTAAGACTGGAGGTTTCTCTAGGTATGTGTAACATAGCAGGTTAATATTTGGTAACGCAAAATTAATCAAAACACGATTCTGAACAAAGGTTACTTGTAATTCCTTATTATTAAGCCCAGCAAGAGACATCCAGAAAAGATCAAATAAAATCGGTGAAAAAACTGATCTTTGTTTATTTAAAGACTAACCGAACTAGCCGCTCGTGCATTCTCTCTAATTAAATTTGTCCTCAAAATCAGTTTCGCTATCGGGTAATTTATTTCCTTTGTATTTCCTATGTATTTCCGGGAACTTTGAGGGTTGGAGCATGTATCTCGCCCGTTGAGTGGCTGTTTCAGTTGAGAGAAGGTCTTTCGTGAAGGTTAAACTGTATTGAAAATTTAGATCTTTTTAAACTAATAATGCATTTGATGAAAAATAGATTAAAGGTAAACATAAGTATAGCATGACTAGAATAGGAGTCATTCACCATATTAATGTACAAATCCGTTTAAATATAAAATATTTGTATTTGAAATTTCTTTGATAATCGGCAGAATTAGAAGAGCTGGCAATAACGAATTCCTCCCATAAACAGTGAGTGAACCAACCGTGACTAGAAGAGCTAGCCCGTTAAATGGCCGTTGTGAGGAGCAACTACTGATTTTAAAAATCAGAGTTTATGCACCAACTCAATGTGATGGCCACTAAAAAGCAAGCTGAATGGAGGACAGCGATACTATGTAAGCGGACCGATTTCATGTCTCAGCATGCTTAACATAGCTCCTAGGAGCATATAACTTCCTGGCATGACTTTTATAACTCAATAAACTTGCAACTAGAGGTAAAAGGTTTAACGTTCATATCAATCTATGAATGGCTTAATCAGCTTGGGTTCAACTCTGAAATCAGATTAATCATCAAGATTAAAATTTTTTTGCTTGTGGTGGAAAACTTTTTACTCCAATTGTTGCTAGTGCGCTCTGATGAAATTTTGAAAGCAGCTTAACTAAAACAGAAATTCACATCCATTTTCATCTACCCATCGATAGAGCGATTCAATTCGGAAAAGCCGGACAAATTTCTGATTTGTTGTGATTTACTTGTTGGCACTTACCAACAACTACAACTGATTTTAGAAAAAATAGTTTTCTACGTAGCAAGGAGACGGATATCTTACACCCTATCCCTAAAAAAAGTCGAGACTTTTCTCTTTTTTTTTCTTTCGGCAATATTTCAAATACATTGATTCAATTTGTATATTAATGCCTTCAACTCTTCAGCTTTTCTCTCTGATTTACGGTCACTGTTTATGACATTTTTGAGCTCTGTGCAAATGTATTGAATTTGGTTCAACGGACCATCAAATTTAAACGTTATAGTGTGGTTTTAACAAAGTGTAGCGAGCGAAAAGTAAAAAATTGTAATGCCAAATAAAACCATTGTACCTCCATTTCATTGTTTGAATTCCTGCTTCTTTCCAGAGATTTTGAATCCAATTTCATCGACTTTTCCTCTCCAGATTACTAAGGCTCTAAAACGAAATAAAATGTTGGAAACTTCAATTCAGCTTTCTTCGCAAAGAGATCAATTAAATTTTCTCCAAAAATGAATCCAAATACTCTAGACAAACTGCAGATGACAGCGAAAAATATAACCTTATAATTAATTTTGCTTAAGAGGCGCAATTTAACTCCAACAGCCAAAAAGTCAGTTTTTTCTCAAACCAACTAAAGAAAGTTCGCTTTCTTGGTATGCGCGAGTAAATTCAGTCGTAATCAGATTTGAAAAGTTTTCGATTAGCGACCGTTACAATCCATCAAATATTCTTGCTCGCGCGCACATCTCGTGATCGAATATGCCCCGCTAAAACTGGGAATGCCCGAGGATATGCACTGAGTGACATTCGCCAATTATCAAACGTATAACTACCCCGATAAAAGAGTTCGTTGAAAATTTTATTACAGACGTAAGAGCATTTAGCTATTATTACAAATGAAGGGACAAATTGGTTTGTTCATACCGTGGTACCAGAGAACACGGACAACTGTTCGTATTTCGGACCGGCTAATGCCCTCAAAATAAATCGCGGCTTTGATTGTTTGCTTAAGATTCAGTTTCGGGCTAAACCAGCTGAACTATCGTTTCTTGGCTCAAGATAACAATTTGCATAGAACGAAATACATCTGCAGTGGTTTTGAGTGAATGAGTCGTTTTTTGAGAAGAAAGCTGAATTTCAAGTTTCCAACCATTCACTTCCTTTTAAGAGCGTTAGATATTCGGAGAGAAAGAGTCGATGAGATCGGGAAATAATGAAGTGGGTAACTCTGAGTGAAGTAAATTAAATTCTTGCGCGCAAAATTCTTGGCTGCGATCCAGGCTTCTCGCATATCTTTACTAAGTAATAGTATTGTTATGTTACGACATCGTGACGATACAATTGTTTACCGCACGTAACCATAACAACTTCTCAGACAGAAATCATTTGCAATTTCGAGTGAAACGTGTATATCTTGGAGGGGAAAACATGAGCAATTCGTGGATAAACTACGTGTACAAACAGTTCACTGGAGAAGAAGACAATGAACGCGCAACCAGCTCATTGGATGTCCTTTCTAAAGCCAATATTTGGTTCACAGATCTTCCAACAAATAACTTAGGTCCGATTGAGGAATCATTCGGGGCGCGCAAGATGACTAAAAAGGTAGGTGCCTAACTTACACTTCTTTTCTTTTAATACATTATTTGTAGACTGTTTAGAGATGAGGAGACCAATGGGACAATATGCCATTCAGTTTTTAAGTTTAGGACTTTGCCTTTTTCTTTCTTTCTTACTTTTGTACTCAATTTTGAGATGAATCAAGCGCGCGGAAATGCTCTTCAACTACGACGCACCGATTTCGTTTTCTTTTGAACAACGTTATTGAAGGAAAAAGTTGAAAAAATTTTTCCCATCTATAACAAGTAAACAAAACAGGCTCTAAAGACCAGTTTGGTGATCATTTTGTTATGAAGAGTATTTAACCGTTTAACAAATCAGACTAAATTATAGCTGATTTTGCAACACACCAAACTATGTACATCCTTGTTCTTTGAAAACTAAAATTTCATTTATTGTGTATTATGCGCCTTTGCGGAGTTCTCATGGTCAGCGTTCTTTAAAACGTCCTGGCTCCATATGTAATGTTCTTGCCGAAGACAAAAAAACAGTGACACAAAAAAATACTCGGAGTGCTTCTCTAAAAGAGGGATTTCATTAAGCTGGGATATGTGAAGAACTGTCTACTGGATGGCTGCTTACTTTGGTTTAGCGTTTAATACAAGAGAAAGATTAAAAGTTGTTATTGCCCGGTGTTACCAATTTCCAAACACAATGTTTTGTATGTAAAACGTCAAATGTACTTAATCTTATTGAACTAGGGTAAGAAGGAGAAAGAATTGGAGGAGAAGGTGGCAGTCCTTGAACAACAATACCTAGGTAAGATATCTATTTTTTCCAACTTTAATCCAGGCTGGTGGTAAGTGCGGACCAACGCAATAGTGAGTGGGCGAAGAAAACGCTGGAAACAGCAGAGATTGTTCCTCATATTTCTTAGCGCAACTCTCGCCGTTTTTTGACAACTCCCCCCCCCTTCGACCTTTTTGCCTCCACTGACTGAGAACTCATTAAAGGTGATTGCTCTCAACAAAGTGGATAATCATCCAATATGCAGGCCTTTGTCTGTTTTTGTCGTCAAATCCGCGAAAAAAGAAAATAAAGTCGTGAGGGTGTATAACTATAGATTATTTGAAAGCTTAGTCACTTGCCGACTGAAATACATCAAGGTATTCGTGAATGATGTGCTGGTTATATTGAAACAACTGATCTGTCATTAAATAAGACTGACTGAGTCACTGACTGACCAAGTGACTGACTGAGTAACTGCCTGACTGACCGAGTCACTGCCTGACTGACTGACCAAGTGACTGAGTTACTGAATGACTGACCGAGTGACTGACCGATCGACTTACTGACTGACTGACTGACTGACTGACCAACCAACATATGGTTTGACTTATCGACCGGATGACTGAAGAAAGGACCATGCTTATTGACTGTCTGTTTGTCCGTCTGTCTGTCTTTCTGTCCGTCTGTCTGTCTGTCTATTCAGCCGTGATCCCCGATTGGTATGACATGTGAGACGTCAGAGCTTAGTCAGTTGACTATTGGCTCGTTGCTTATACTGACCATCTAACTTTCTAAAGCATATCAGAGCACCATTCCCTGAATTCGGTTAGCTTTAGACAATCTAAGACAATCATACTTTCAGAGGATATTTGAGACAAAAATGCGGTTATTCACCACTGAGCTAAGCTTTTATAACTACATTAGAGAGAGAGAAAGAACTCCTAAAAAGGAACTCTGCCTTGGAAAATCAACTGAAAGAATCACGTGACAAAATGGACGATCTACGCATTCAGCATGAAAAGGAAAACGAGTCTCTCCAGACTGAAATTAAAGACTTGAAGGACACTCTACTTAGGAGAGAAAAGTGTCATACAAGACAAAAAGATCTTTTCAAAAAGATGGCAGCTAATGCCCAGAGTGAACTGGACAAAGCTCGGGCGGTCATTTCAAATCTCTCTGAAGGGATGAAGGCCTGTGAAGGTAAGTCTTATGCATAAGGTAAACTATTTATTCATTTTTTTTATTTCAATATAGAACTGATCATAAAACGTGCTTATGAACTAAATATTGTTGCGTTCAATCAAAAGGTTTGTAGATAAGCACAGAAAAGCAAAAAAAAAAAAACGTTAGAAACGAGCAAACAACAACCTGTAAAAAGATATTTAATACTTCCCCGACATAATATGTAATAATTCACAACGTACGATACATGACAAAATGGCTTGGATACAGTCGGTGCCACCCCTCCCTGATCTTCCCACAAACAATTACGAGCCAATTGATTCCTCAGTCGGTTCTAAATTGTTTGTGGGAAGATCGGTGACCCACACGTTGGCTTTAGAAAGGACATCCAATGAACCGAATGCTCGTTCACTTCTTGTACAAGCACATTACAGGCGAAGAAGACAATTTTTCCTCTTCTCCAGTAATCTGTTTGTACCAGAAGTTTATTACTCTACCTGACTTTTATGGTATCCACAAAGTACTCATGTTTACACCCGTAGCTATAATCGTTTCATTCGAAATCGCAAATCTTTCCAGTCTGAGCAGTTATAGTTACGCGCGGTAAACAGATGGCGTCGTCACGGTGTCGTAACATGATTATTTAATCACATCATGAGGACAATCGAGAAACCTGGGTGGCAGCCATGAAGTTTGCATCCCAGAATTCAATTTGCTTGACTTAAACTTTACCTAAACAAAATCATATTTTAAAAATATCATTCTTGTAACCCATCTCTGAGTTAAATTATTTACGTTTTAAATAAAATGATCAAAACGATGGCGAACACACAGCGCTCCTTTGACAATCCTTGTCCAAGGAATGAAGCTGTTTGCGTCTATTTTGTGAACGTTAACATTTGGAAGATCGTTAGAGAATGTGCAAAGAAGAAGAGGAAGCGAAGGAGTCAATAAAAATGGAAATATAGAAATGCAATTGATCTCTGACGAGCTAAGCCTTTACAATCACCAGAAACCGAGATAAAGAATTATTATAAATGATCAACTCTTCCCTGCGTGGTCAACAAAAGAAGATTTCATTGAGCTGAAAGAGAAAATAAAAAGTGATTGAACATACTGAAGAAATCTTCATTCGACGTCAAATCTTTCTCTGTTGGACTTGGCTTTCATTGGGGGGAGATGTGGTTTATTTTTGGCAATACGAAATTAATCAAATATACGATTTTATGAAAACTCGAAGGATGTGGCTGAAAACAATCTGAGATATTTCAACGTGAGCGACGTTTGTATTTTCTCTGAGGAGCTTTTAAATTCTGTGCCTGACTACTAGTAATAATTAAATGTCTTACTTACTAAATGGCGTTGTAATATTCCCGTATTTTTTGTTCATTTCAGCGACTCTTTCTGTATCAAAGGAGACAATCAGTGAGAAAGATCAAAAAATTCAACAGCTTACATCTCAGCTAAACAAATATGAAGATCTCCTTAAAAAATTAACGGTTGATACGAGAAATTATCACAAGAGCCTGCAGAAAGCTGCAGACGATGTTGACAAAATCAGTGAAAGACTGGAGGTTTCTCTAGGTATGTGTAACATAGCGGGTTAATATTTGGCAACACAAAATTAAGCAAAACACGATTTTTAACAAAGGTAGATGATAATTTATTTTATTGCGTCCATCGAAAAAAAAAAAAAAAAAAGAAAACCCAGACAAACAGAGTTGTTAACCAAGAACACTTGCCCTGAGAACCAAATTGCTGAAATGGAAGAAGTCGTTTTTTCCATGTTAACTATTTGGTCCTCATGGCGGTGGCTGAGCCGATGAAAGAAATGTAGGAATTCGCTTTTTACCAGTTGAAAAAGCGTTTTCTGTTCGTTAAGTTTGATTTATTTGTTTTATTGCCATTTTCAGCCGTTAAGAAGAAACTGTTGAGGAAAAACAGATGCCTCGAGGAAAAAGTTGTCATTATGGAAGAAACAATGACTAATGCCGAAGCAAAAGTGAAGGAATTGTCAGGTGACTTTTTGTTTTCGTTTTTAGTACTTCCTGAAGTAATTTAAACTGTCTGTTTTGATGACATTTTTCAGACGATAAGTCCGAATTATTAACGAAGAACGCTTGCCTTGAGGACCAAATTGCTGAAATGGAAGAGACCGTTTCTTCCTTGTTAACAGTTTTATCCTCAAGGCGGTGGCTAATACCGAAGCAAACATGGACGAATTGTTTGGTGACAATTTATTTCACTCTTTACCACTTGAAAGAGTGTCTTCTGTTCTTGAAGTTTGAATGATTTATTTTCTTTCTCTTTGCAGAAGTCAACTCTAAGTTGGTTGAGAAGATCAGTTTCCTTCAGGATGAGGACAAAAAGATGCAGTTTGATCTTCAAGAAAGAAGAAACAAGGAGAGGCTAAACGACAAAATGGGTATGGTGAACCACTTAAAGGAAGATCTGAAAACAAAACGTACTGATGTGACAGTAGAAATACTAGGTTCGTGAAGCGATCTTATGAATAGATAAACGTAGCATAACTTCATTAATGAGACATGAGATATTTTCCGCGTGCGATTGGCATAACGCGACCGAGTTAAAGTGATGAATATCTATTGGTATTACGAGGGGGTGGTACCAAATTTTAAGAGATTGTCCAGTGCAATGAAGGTCGTTCTATAATTGTTGATTCAATCAGAAAGTTTTTGTCCTTGACACTAATAAGGGGATGAGCTTATTTGTTGACAAAATTGCTTTAAAATTTCAATCCCCGTTTTATAAAAGGAGTTGTTGGTAAACCCTTTGTGTCGAGAAAGTCTCTCTTAGACTTAAAAGTATGAAGGTTTATTTTTCCTTTCAGTGACAATATCTAAAACTCACAGTCTTCCTCAAAATTTGCTTCTAGCTTGAATATTTGCCCTTTGTAATGGATGATATCCGTGAATTTATATTCTGGTGCATTTTCGCACCAAATAGAGGTTGAGATTTATAGTGGAGCTCGCAGAGCGTAGCACCATAATTATACAAAATAGTAGTAATCCATCACGCGGAAAAAATTTGGATGTACGACCGTACGACCGTACGACCGTACGACCGTACGACCGTACGACCGTACGACCGTACGACCGTACGACCGTACGACCGTACAGCCTTACGACCGTACGACCGTAGAAGGTGCTAATTTTAACATGCGTGGTCAACTGTACCGCGGGCACGTCAACGCCACGGCTTTGTTCAGTAGTCCAGTGGTCAGTGCACTGGGCTCCGAGTCGGACGACCCGGGTTTTAGTCCTGGCCGAGGCAAGGCGTTGTGCCCCTGAGACGTGCGGGAAAAAAATGCCAGCTTCGCTTTTAGGCTTGGCTTAATCTATATATTATAATTCATAAACTGGTACGCGTGGAACAGACTCCGATGAACATATGGGCATATTCGATGTTGGAAGGGAAGTTGTTGCATACGATATCTGTCAAAACTTAAAGAAGGGGTTTGTGTCGGAAATATGTCCAAGTTTTAATACGTTCAATTTTTTTTCTCTAGCCGGTGTCTACGACGACCTGCAACCTACAGAGCTCAATGTGAAAAGCGGGGACTGTTTTCTCCCAAAACAAAAAAGTACTGTGCTTACAAAAGAGACAGAAACGCCTAAAGGCGATGAAGCAAATGTAAAGAAGACAGTAAAAGGTGTTGATAATTTAACATTTTGTTTTAATTGTAGTAACTTGTACTTTAGTTATTACGTAAGATATCATTGACGCCTCTTATCTCTTGTGGGGAGGGGGGGGAGGGAGTGGGATGAGAATGTTGTCAGCATAGACTAGCCAAGTATTTATCGAGTAAAAATGTTACATGATTATTTCATTTCTCGTCATTTCAGTCAAAGAGAACAGCGAGCCTCGCCCGTCAATGTTATCATCTGCAGCCAGAGTCTCAACGAGTGGAACTTTAGTGCAGGACACCTGTCTGAGAAAAAGGCATAGAAGTGATCAAAGCAAGGGATTCAGTTGCGACAGCAAAACAGCTGATCCGTTGTCCATGCCTACCGCAGGTAAGAGCAGTGAAACACATTACCAAAAAATAAACGAAGAAACAAAGCAAATGGGAAACGGGTTTTGTAAAAATCTACTAATCTCATTGGCGTCTCTTTCAGACAAAGGTGGCCCCATCAGGCACCATCAATCACCCCTCCCTCCCATATTTGCACGACTATCTACATCTGAAGTAGGCCGAGCTAAAAAGGATGACGACTGGCTGGTTAGGAACCAAGGAAACTTTCTACCTTTCTCCCAAAAGGGTAAGTGACATTTCTATGAAAATGCTATTTTCATATATTTTCCAGTTTACTACTGACAAAAGTTGTCAGGGTTTTGAGGTTTTTGGATGTCTTTCTTTCTTTGCAGCCGGTGGCTTTGATTACGATCCTGATCGAACTCTGCATGAAAGCCATCTAGAAGAAAAAGATGAAAAATATTTTGCAATGAAAGGAAACTCATCCTTCGAGGCGGAAAAAGGTATAAAATGTTTTGATAATATGTACTTATACGTTTTTTAGTATGTCCCATGACAGTGAGTAAGAGACGGGTCATTATTCATCGCCTGAAGGGGTGGGAGCGGAGGATTTTGGTTGTATCAAAATGCAATGTAATTTTAAATACTCTAACTTTTACTCTGTTAGTGACGACTGATCCCCCTCCCCTCCCCCCCTAAAAAAAACCATGTGATTCCTGGAAAATCTTCCGAGACTCTGAGAAGAAGAAAGCATCAGCACGTCAAAGTTTTTTTAATGTTTTTATTGACTTTCAATTTTTGTAGACGGAGCCTGTCGATTAGTAGAAGAAGACCATTCTAAGTATGATGAAAAGTCGCATGATGAGTCCTCTGTTAAGAAAATGTCCTCTGCTAAGATACGAAACTCATCCTTTGAGGCAGAAAAAGGTAAGAATTCTTTGAAAATATCTTGTTATAGTTTTCATTTAGTATGTTCCATATCAGTGATATCAGTGACTTGGCGAGAAAAAAATTATACCCTGTGGAATAACTAGAAGGTTGTTTGAAAATTTTGAAAACCCTGAAAAAGAGTTACGTTTTTCTTTCTTCCTATATTACCTTTAAAAATGTAACTCAATGGTGTAGTGTGAAACTTTTGAGAGAGTTTTATCTCGCGGATTAGTCATGTTTTATGTCTTCTCGCCTTTTTAGTGGGTTTAGAAAAGTGTGCATGGATATACTGACAAATTAGATTTACCTGACCCATTTGAAAAGTCAAAAGCAAGAGAATCTTGCCAAAAGTCATCCCCGTTGGTTCAAATTGTTTCACAATGTTGGTGGGAAAGTTTTCGGTCACAAATCTTCCAAAACTCAGTGGAGAATACAGCATCAGCACGTCAGAGTCTTAATGTCTTTCGATTTTTGTAGCCGATGCTTGTCGATCAAAAGAAGAAAGCCATCCGTCATGTAAGACAAATGATGAAAAGTCCTCTGCTAAGAAAGAAAACTCATCCTTGGAGACGGCAAAAGGTATGAATACTGAAACAGTGATCTGGTAAAGAAGAAGAAAACGAAATTAAACCCTAGTTGCGTAACAATCAGAAGTCCTTGTTCGAACCTAATCTCGTTCCCAGATTTTCTCTTAAAGTTCAGATTCTCTCTGTAAAGGAAAAGTGAACTTGTAGGGCGTTAGTGTATGTGAGCCGAGTGCACTTCTGTACTTCGGTAAAATCTGCATAACTTATTTGTTCTTCGTAATTCAATAAGTATACTTCCAATTATGGTATAAACACTATATCTTTTACCGGTGTCAGAGCGTGAAACTTTTTCTAGATGAGTTGCGTCCCCTTACTGTGGAACGAGACTTTCGTTGAGGTTCGTCACTTTTTCGCATGTAAAAGATCTTTGGTTATTTTTAAGATTTGGGATTGTTTGATTCTTAACAGAAATAATTTTTTTCAATTTTTTTATCGTTGTTATTTTGCACTGAACAGTATAATGGTTCGTTTATATCATTTTTTTAGGTTACCATTACCGCTCCGTGCGTTTTAGGGAAGTAGTTTTAAGTATCACAGTACCGTACAGTTGACTGAGATCCTCTAAAATACTTATTCCTTTCTTTGTTTATGCAGAAGAACAAGGATTCTTTAACAAAGTATTTTGGGCATTTTTACATCACGCTCCCTCAAAGCTATAGGTTTGTCTGGCTGTGTTTGAACCAACCTTCGTCCCTCTCAGGTACATCATCTTTTTTTTACTCTGGTATTCATCTGTCTTCCCATATTTGTATTTCACGGTTTCCTCATTTCTGTATACTTGAAATGGCTCTCGAACACTTATTTGACAGGCTCCTCGACGGCAGTTACTAGATACTGTGGTTGATTTCTAACATATACTGTAATTTACGACGGTCGATTTCGGCTAACTCAAGTGATTGAGGGAAATACCAAAAAATACTTTAATTTGCTGCTTTTGATTCCTTGAGTCGTTTTGTTCACAGTTAGATAACATAACAAAAGTCTCACTTATTTTGGTTTTGTGTATAGTCTCGAGTAATCTGGCGGGTTTTTGAAACGGTTTATTACCTTCTGCCCTCTTTCACTAAACTGTCACTCCTCCAGATACAGATGAATCATTTCCTTTAAGATATGCTGCTGATCACAGCTCATGTATCTATTTTCTTCTCTTTTGTGCAGGCTTTCAGGACTCGTCCTTGAAATTATCAATTGCAACTCAGTTAATATTGTAAATAGTTGAAAAAATGTTGTGATATGAGGATTTGCAATCGGTATATATTGTAAATATTTATATAATTTAATAGAAAATTTGGGCATACACTTACATGCCATTCATGCAAATAAATTCTTTTCATGTTTCATGATTTGTTTGATATGTGTTAAGTAGCAACATTCCGATGGTCTGGGTATAACAACCATTTACTTTTCCGGGTTAAGAACAAGATGAACTTCTTTGTGTCATCAAGGCGATGTACTCTTCTTTCAAAATGATAAGCTTCAGTTTTTAGTCGAAATGTTGTGTTTTGATCAGTAGTGATAAGTAGGGAGCCAAGAAAGCATACATGTACTCCACTGGTCAGAGTTAATTTTGGGGTCGCCTTTACTACCCTTTACTGATACCGAAGGGGTCAAAACGTCCTATCTTGGAGACGGTGTAAGATAAGAAGTGGCTGGGACCTTCTGTTTATCCTGCTGAACTGGGTTCTCCTCTTCCCCTCTCCCCCTCTAACACATTAATAGGAGTACATGGTATTCATGGACGTATGGACGACTCTACTGTTGATTCAGACAGACACACTGTCTTGCTGTTTTTTACCCATGGAGTAAAGAAATTTACGGCTCTCGATTGCGAAATGTTTTGGCTCCCGGGATTTACCCATGGATTGAAAATGACTTTCGAGTAAACTTGCAGGATCTAGA